GGTCCCTGAGTTTTGTGTTGTAAAATAATCTGTGTGTTTCCTGTTTTACTTTGTAGGTCTGTGTCTCGTTATGAGTCCCAGCTGTTCCTCGTTTCCTCGTACCTGCCAGTGTGTTTTAGTCCCTGTCAGTTAGTTCTTGTTGTCGCGTCGTTAATGTCGGTTCCCCTCTCGTGCTGTGTTTTCTCTTGAGTTATGTTCTTGGATTTCCCAGTTTAGTTTGTTATTGTTTTATATTTCTCCCAAGGCTGCAATAAAGTGTAGTTTTGAGTCTGAGTCCAGCGTTTTGGGTCCTCTTCAGCTGCCTGCACACAGCATATCATTCCCACTGTCGTGCTGCTCACAGGGGGTCATATGATTGTTGGGTTTCTCTGTGTGTATTATTGTAGGATCTACTGTACAACATAAAGCACCTTGAGGTGACTGTTGCTGTGATTTGGTGTATAAATAGAATTGAATTGAATAAACTGCTGTGGATGATATATATTGTGACTTGGGAATTATGTTTTATTCAGTCTGAGTTTTCCATCACAATGAACCTGCATGACTTTCTCTTGTTCCTGAGATATTTACACCAGAAGTGCTCATTTGTGATGAGAATCGTGACAACTGTTCACAAACAGCTCACCTGCAGTGCTGATGGTTTTTCTTGCATTTTTAAAAATATTTATTTGGATTCCAGTGTTTAAATTAATCGATAGCCTATATTGGTCTTCACGATCCACTTCAGAAATGACAATGAGACACGTGTGTGTGTTTGTGAAAAATAGAAGCACTAACATGACAAACATTAGGCAGAGACAGGAAGTGAAAGAGAGAGAGTACATCTGTTCTGCAGAATGGTCACAAAGATCGATGAAGATCAGTTTGACAGACAACATATTGATCATATATTCAGTTATAGTTAACTAATGCATGAGTGGTTACACACACTCAGAAATCATGCTACAGCTGTGTGCTCAGGCACTCAGGTAAATAGCATTATACATCTGTACACATGAATTAGAGGCGGCACATTGATCCAATTATTAATAGTATCACAACACTGGAATTGATACTGGATCGATAGTAGTGCCATAGATACTTTGTTTCTATCTAATTCACTGAATTATAATTTTTTTGTGAATTAAAAAACATCCAGTATGAAACATGTCTGAATCTTCTTGTGTCGTGTTTATAGCCAACAGCACGTTTAAACAGCCGGAGCTGTGTGTTGGAGACGAAAGCTGTGTTTTTATTGTGTTATTATTGTAGAGTCAGTGATTTAGTGGTTGAGTCATGTCACGCGCTCCCCTACATAAGGTCTGTAGATCAATAGTATTGGTATCGGTCCTGCATTGACTTGGTATCGATACTACAATCAGCTGTATGGACCCGGTACCATGAATGAATGTGCTGACGTGTAGCGGGCGGTGCCGTCTGTGACGTAGGCGTTTTCCGACACATGTGGGCTTGTTTTCTCCTCCAGCGTACTCCTCGTGTTAGTGAAATAAACACGGGCCACACGGCAGCAATGGCTACAGTTTACAGGAGAGCAGGACACGCGTGGTAACGTCCCTTTATGTGAGACAATCTATAAAGGAAAATTTCATATGAAAGCCTGGCATGTGACCGCTACACGCGTGACCTCTTCCCGCGGGGAACCCAAATACATTCACGAGCGCCTCCGAGGAAGGCGGTCGTTTCGAGAGGAAAAATGGCGGCGGCCGTAACAGGAGCGGCAGAGCGAGCAGAGAGTGAAATAACAACATGTTCCCCACAGCCTGCGTGTACGGCAGCGCCACACCGCGAAGCTTTATCCGCGGAGGACTTCCTGGAGGACCGGGACACCGAGCTGATGTGCCCGAGGACCGTCGGGGAGCTGATGGAACATCTGACCGAGCAGAACAACACGCTGAAGGAGCAGGTGACCGAAACAGCACAGAGAGCATCATTTACACAGAAACACGAAGAATGCGTGAGATGTGCTCGCTGTGTCACTAACACCGTGTCACTAACACCGTGACAGCTGTTTACGGCCGTGAATGTGTCGGGAATGTGGCAGCCCAGCCTCCCAGTTACAAACAAACAAACAAACAAACCCTGTAATTGCTCCAAAAGGCTGATTGTGTCCATCTGGACGTTTCCGTGGGAGAAACGTTTCGTCATCATCAGGTGACGTCTTCAGTCTCAGCTGACTGCAGCTTTATAAACAGGACATTTGCACAATGACCTCATAGCCCACTGAATGAGCTGTGGGCTGCCAGCGTGTCCGAATCACAGCTCAGTAAAAACGTGCACAGACCCACGTATGAGATCAGTGGTGCAGTTACGTGGACACTGCCGTGGGAACAGTATGACGGTGCATGTTTTCTCCTTTTTACTCAGTAAACTAAAAATGACGTCAACAAACAAACATCTATAACTGTATTTTTACACATTTCTGTGTCCTCGAGAAACACGTTTGTGCGTTATTGTGAAGTTTATGCACTTATTTATAGTTAAATTAGATTAAATTAGATTATGGTAGAAATCCCTTTAAAACTGTGATTGTATATTAAACCTTGTTTTGAGCTCAGTTATAGCTTTAAATCAAACTGCACTCCTCCAGGCAGCCAGTGGGGGGCGCTGGTATGAGCCACTGCCAGAAGTCGGTGTTTTGATTGCGTTGAGTCTGTTCCGGCTCTTCCTCCAGCTTTCCCGTCTCAGTGTTGTCACAACAGACTTGAATGCTTGTTGGTTTAAACTGTTGTCTGGTGGCTTTGAACACACCGCGAGCAGCTTCATTTCCTCCTCAGAAATCTCTAAATATCACTAAAAACGTTGTTTTTCTTCATGTTGGAGTTTGTTAATGCGGTGGTTTGAAGGATTCACACCAACTTCTTCCCAGTAAAGGTTTTAATGGTGATTACAGGAACAGTTGTTGTTGTTTTGGACACTAGAAACACGTTTTTGTTTAAGCTGAGCTCACGTCTCGTCTTAGACAGAAACTGGTTAGTTGTTACTAAGTTACTGACTCCATTTAATCAGCAGTGAAAATAAGTCAGGAGGAGCACGTCACTGTTTCAGACAGCCTAACTGTGTCTGTGCTTTTACCTAAAATCATCTTTATTATTATTCTTACAGCAGTGGATCATAATGGGACAGCTGTATTTTTCCAAAGAAATAACAGTTTTGTACATCATGCAGGTCTTTTGTTGATGCCAAGTGTAGCTCTGCTCTTGTAACGGAGGTCACGGTTGGTTGTGGCCTCTGATGTACTCGTGGATGTTTAGAAAGAATAATCCTTTAATTGTGCCACAAGGGGAAATGTGGTTGTAACAGCAACAAGAAAAAACACACAAACATCAAACAGCGCACAGAAACATACACAATTTAAAATATATATATATTTACATCAAGGACAGTAGTTCCCAAAAACAGAGTTCTGTACAGTTATTAACATTAAATAAAATGAAATACGTTTTATTTACAGATAAAATGTATTTCAGATAAGAGGCAAACTCAGTTTATGATATGAATCGATGATGAAATAGTGAAAGTTACAGCACTAATGTAAACCTCTGTTTGTTGGGAGCAGTTCTGATTGTGCAGTCTGACAGCTGCAGGGAGGAAGGAGCTGCAGAAACGCTCCGTCATGCATCGAGGACGCAGCAGTCTGTCACTGAAGCAGCTCTGCAGCTCAGCATGCATGGGCTGGGAGACTCTGTCCATCAGAGATGTTGTTTTGGCCACAGTCCTTCTGTCTCCCACCACCTGCACTGGTTTGATGTCTCATCCTGTGCTGACACTCACCAGTCCCCGGCCTCCTTCCTGGTGCTTAGCGTACAGCCTCAGGGTGCTGGACCCGGGGTGAAACCCTCCATGCATGGTCAGGAGCTTCCTGATCTTGATGTCACACACACACCTACCTGTCTATCTAGACGTAGTGTTGTCCAAACATTTCTGATTTTCACCTATGGCTGTGAGAAACATAGAACATGGATTTCTGTCCATCGGTGTGTCCGGTTTGTCCTGTGCTCTCCCAGGATCAGCGACTGTTTTTGGTCCAGCAGTTACAAAGAATTCATCGAGACTGTTTGTCACAGCATCCATGTTCTTCATGGTCGTTACAAATGAAATACTTATAACCCCACGTTTTATAACACTGTTCAGTATTTCCCATAGACTTTTCATATTATTTCTATTTATATCTACTATTATAGTTATTTGTATTTAATAGATGTTAGAAATTTAATTATGATGTTCTTAAACGGAGACGCTGCAGCACTGAAATGCCATCACACACGTCTTTATAGTTATTTAAAGGGAGAAAATGGAAATGAAAACACTTTTTCTGATCAAACGTGTTCATGAACGCGCTCGCATGAATGGAAATGCTGACTGTGGCCTGTAGAGTCTGAGATGTAACGTTTGGGGTTTTCAGTTTTCCCTCTTCGTGTGTGTTGATGTGGCGCCGCTCTCTGAGTGGTGACACTTTTTGTGATGGCGAGCATAACTGGATGTGGCCGTGTGATGATGTCACTGCTGCACAAAGCAGCCAGTTTTTATCATTTAAAATGCAAACAACACCCTTACAGTATATTTATTTTTCCACAGGACTGCTGCTCTCGTCTTTCTGCTGCTTACTCATGCACCTCACACGTTTACATACAGTTACAGAATTTATTGTTTGTAGAAACAACCATGAAGCTCTGAAACCTCCCGTGTGAAATGTGAGCAGCTCTGTTTTGCCTTTCAGGTCCTGACCGTGTCCAGTTTGCCTCCTAAAGTCTCAGCAGCTCTGTCTGCTGTCGAGGACGCCAGGTGTTCTCTGGAGGCGCTGCTGCAGAGGGAACAGCTTACCTTCAACATGCTGCACAAGGTAGTGACATCACTAAGCACGCCAAAGTCCTCTTGTCTTGACTCCCTCCGTGATGGTAGCGCTCCGAGCCTCCTGAGCTTTCCCAGGTGTTTTGGTTCAGCTTCACGTCACGTTTCCAAACGTGGAAGTGGAGTTCTGGTCGTCCGACAGCGTGAGCCCTCGCACACCTCGTTTGAGCTTTTTGCTTCAAACTGTCGTGAATAGTGTGGATGAGGCACAACAGCGAGTATACAACTCAGTGAGGCCTCTGTCATTGTTTGGGGCTGCATTAGTGCCAGTAGTGTCTGGGCTTTACCTCCCAGTGATCCCAGTTACACTGCCAGTACAGTAAAAGCATAACTGGATAATAAAAGCACAGTAAAACCCAATCAGTCATAGATCGACCTGCAAACACCAGACTGAAGCTGGTGTGACAACCTTTGGGCTTCTCAGTACCAAACGTACTTTCTTTAAATGCCGCCGTCCACCTGAGTGTTGCTGTGACCACGCCGCCCCTTTGTGACCAAAGCGGGACCTCTTCATGGCGGCTTTTAGCGAGAGTACATGCCGATCCTCAGCGCACCGGCTTCTTGAACACGACGTCTGTGCGCGTCACGGATGTTCAGCTTGGAAATCTGTTTGGGCCATATTGAAATGTCAGCATCACTGTGACGAATGCTTCCACCACCTTGTTGAGTCTGTGACATTTACGGCAGTCCTGAAGTCAAAAGGGGGCCGTCCACCGCACTGTGGGATGGAAGTGAGTCAGCGGAGGAAGCATGACTTCAGGCAGTGTTCTGCCGGTGAAAGCTGGGTCGTGCTTTTCTTGTGTTCCTGTTAACTTCGTTGTTCTGCAGCAGGATATTTGATGCATTAATGCCCACTTACAGCAGTATGCAGCATATAGATGGAGCAGATATCACCAACGTCAAGTCAAAATAACTTCAGAGGGCCAGTGATACTCTAAAAGAGTGAATGTTTACCTCTGATAAATAAGTTTATTTGCAGTGTTGTAGCTAAAGTAGAACAATATTCAGCCTTTTTACCCCCGACCGGGAGAACAGATCCGATTGGAGCAGAACACCAGGTAAGAGGATGATATCTGTGGAGCCGCAGACCCCACGCTGGTGCGGCGGGCCCTGGTGCACAACGATGCCTGGCCTGGTGGTGAAAGCATGCAGGCAGGTCCTGGAGGATGAAGGAGTTGATACCACCCCATCCTCACCTGACCTAAACCCAGTAGGACACCTCTGGGAGATTATCTTTGGAGGTTAACTGATCAGGTGCTCATGTGAATACTTTAGGCAGGAGAAACCTGCGAAAGACCAGGAGCGAGAACCATCACGGATATGGATTCATGACTTTATCCGACACCACGCGTTTCACATCAGTCCAGCTCAGGGATGCCCTGGTCCAGATCTGAGAGGAGACTCCCTTGAACACCACCCATCATCTTGATGGGGGCGTGCCGATGTTGCCGATACATCAACCTCCAAACTGACATCTGAGATCTGTGGCCAGAAGAACGGGGTTCTAGGAGCAGATACGATGCTGTGGCAGATCCTCCTGGTCCTCTGGTGCAGGAGCCGAGCTTACAGGACAAATACAGACAAATAAAGTGAACTTTGACTGTACAGCATAGAAATATCTTTGTACGGTTCTGCTGCTGTCTGCATTGTTGCTATCAAACAGGTTTAGACTGAAATACTGGACGTCTTCACTGTCTGTTTCTCTTTTTCCAGCACCTACAGGATGCCCAGCCCTGGATGGATAAACTCGAACAAACGTGTAACCAAGTTGACTTTATAGAGAGACACATGAAATACCTCAGATGCCTTCAACACATAGAGGAGCTCAGGTAACACCCTCACTGTTTATGCCGTCTGTTAAAGTTCAGATGCTGTGTGCATAAAAACAGAGGCCCATGAATCTGTATTTTATTCACAGCAGAAGATCTGTTAAATGTTTAAATAAGGAGCCATGTTCTGCTGGTTTTAAATTTGATGGCAGCAAACCTCTAAAGTTGGTACAAAAACAGGGACGAGTTTGAATGTTATTAAGTGGCAGCAGGTCTGTAACATGACAGGATGTAAGAAGATCATCTAAGGAAGGCAGCGTGTGTCAGAACTAATGCATGAGTCATTAGATCATCTACAGACAACGATGTCATCGTTCAGGGAATCTGCAGAAATCTGTGCAGGGTCAAAGGTCAGTCCTGCATGTTGGGGGCACAGTGTGTGTCTCTGTGCCAGAGCTCGTGGAAAATAGACCGAAGCAAACTGTTGTGAAGGTCAGACAATAGAAATCCTTTCCCCAAACACAGACGCCCCACCCTTTGAACTGAGGAGGAGACACGTGGCTGGTTATCGGCACTCAAAGGTTGAGTCTGTTCATCTGGATGTTTTCAGACGTCTTCAGTCAGCTGAGACTCGAGACGTGACGAAACGTTTCTCCCATGAAAACGTCCAGATGAGCAGAACCTTTGGCATTGACTTACCTGGATGATTGAGCGTGCATCTACAGGGCAGCGGTGTCCCAGTCCAGGCCTCGAGGGCCGGTGTCCTGCAGGTTTCAGATGTTGATCCAACACAGCTGATTTAAATGGCTAAATGACCTCAACATGTCTTGTAGTTCTCCTGGTAACAAAATGGTCATTTGATTGAGGTGACCCCGGGTGAGATTTGCACATCATTGCTAATGTTTTTCTCTAACTCGGTGTCCCACCTCTCTGAGTCTCATTCATGGCCTGTGGTCTTCCTGCTGTGGTGCAATGAAAGCAGTGACGTGCTGTCTTGTGTTGCAGTGCTACGGTTCAGCAGTGTCTGATGACCAGCAGTGCCTGGGAAGCCATAAGGGCAGTGGATAGCATGGCGGCTCTGGATTATGGACTGAACCAGTCTAGATGTTCTCATCTCCAGAACTTCCTCCAAGCAACTCTTAGCTTCTGGCACAAAATCATGAAGGACCGTCTGACCAGGTAGGAGCGCTCACAGCTGCTGCGCCTTATTAGACTAAAGACATGTGACAGGTTTGGGACTGAAATGCACGGACGCAAGATTTGGGTTTTCAAAAGTCTTCAAATATATTCTAAAAATGTAACTAAGGCTTGTGGTAAACTGTCATTATGTAATACTTTACACTAAAGATGCAACGATACCAATTTTTTCAAACCGATACGATACCGATACTTGGATCTGAGTACTTGCCGATACTGAGTACAAAAATCGATACTTCTACCA